TTTTTTTTTTTTTTTTTTTTTTTTTTTTTTTTTTTTTTTTTTCTTTTTTTTTTTGGCACATCCTCAACATCATTTTAGGATTTTTTTTTGTTATGCAACTCTTCAAGTAATGTTACTTTATTCTTCAACATTAAGTTATGTTACAACATTGTTTTTTACTTTACAACTTAATATATTAGGGTGGAGAATTATCAAGCAAAAATATCCCAGAAACCAATCACAAAATCATATTCTGAAGCATTGAATTACAATAAAATGTCACAATAACGGCCAATAATTATTGATCTACTTGTGGGTTTACCTGACTTTGAAGCCGGCTGATACTTTTCGAATTAAAGCTTTCAAAGTAGAGATTCAACATTTGGTATTTTCTGATAATTTGTGTCTAAAGAATAAATATGCATAGTTTATTGTCGATGATGCCACACAATAGTCTCATTTCAGGTTAATATACATGTGTATATATGTACTGTATGCGAGTGTGGATGTTGTTTCAGTAACAGATGTTCGCTGCACGGTGTTTTCTGTGAGCCTGTAACTGGTGACCTCAGCTGAACTCACTGGTAATTCTACATTTCATCTCGTATGAAGCACCTCTGTGTTCTCCACATCTGGGTTATTGCACCTTAGTCCTTATGTGTCGTGAAGATTTGATGTCTCAAATCTTCACACTTGTGGCCCATTATACGCTGGATGTTAAGACGGTCATAGCTGTCAAACACTTATGAAGTTATTCGCCAGCTGCAGCTCATTGTTTTAACAATTGGAAATGTAATCGGTGTGAAGTTGGGTATTTGACAAGCCTAGTAAAATTCAAACGAGCCATCGAGGTTTAGAACTAGGACAATTTTGCAGAACCTGACTTTCCCATGTGGCCTTTAATTCCCTATAACATAAGGAGTTGACACTTAATCATACTGTAAAAGTTTAATTTGCCTGTTCATGTAATAACCTACAGATGGCCAGTCGTCATAGAAGATGCAAACCCCTCAAACTCAACTCAAGTTAAATACGCTTGAACCAACTCCAGGTCTGGGTTTGATTTTTCTGAATTAGTTTACAACAGAATATAAAGTTAATGACTTATATGAGAAGACATCTTAACATCTTTGGTTTGCACCCGATTCTTTGAGGCTTGGTGTCTAATAATTGGCCAGTTAATTATTAACTGCTCATAGAGCAGTCTACCAATGCAATTAAGCTGCTGGATTGTTTGTTATATTAGGGTGTTATAACACTTTGCTGTACCTCTGTAGGCAGTACTCATAATTAGTAAAGATGATATTTTATTATCGCAGGTTTTAATGTGGAAGGCCATTTCCTGGGAACTTTATTCCATGTCCATTTCCTCATTTCCTACCTCTAAGAAGTCTTCAGTTTACAGCGGAGTGTTTTTAGTCGGGGAACTTTTAGTTTGTTCTGAAACTTTCAGCGTTGTTTCGATGTCGACCGTATTGCAGCAGGCTTTGCTGTGGCTCATCTTGTCTTTGCTGAATGAAGTGTGTTACAGCAAAGCAACAAAGATGGGTCTATAGCATTAGTGTGTATCTGTAACATTACAATGATGTAAACAAAAAAACGACGACGATCACTCCTGGAACATTTGTGTCATTGAACCTCTGTAGTCGTGTTCATGTCATGTGTTGAAAAACCTTAAACAGCTGTGACTGCTTTCTCTTGATGACTGGTGTCGGTTTGCTCGTGTGTCTCTGATGCAGTGAGGTGTACGCGTCCGTAAATCACCATCAAATATATATGTGTATATATGTATATATATCGTTAACCCCCAGCCTTCCTTACTAAAGCTTTGTGTCAGTCATTTTGATTTATTTTCATTTTATGATGGCATGACTTAAAACGTATAAACTCCCAGAAAATGAATAGAAGACTTTGTTCTGTGATATCTGTTTTCAAAAGAGGAATATTTTAACAGTCTGAAATCTGTATCGGAGCTTATAGTTCTGAAATACTTCTTTTTATGGTGAATGTTTGGGGTTACTGGTACACATGAAACACTTATAAACCGCAGAATGTGTTAATGACTGAAATGCATCCATAAGGTCTTGATATAAGGTGATTTTTATTTTTATTTTTTATTTTTTTTATATACACCCGATGTAATCTGAAGCCAATTCTAAACTTTAACTTTCCAGAGCTGTAGTTTGGCTCAGTGTCTGTGCCTGTCGAACATTTGAGATCGGGTATGTCCGTGTGTGTTGATGAAACCATTATATCAGAAATACTATTTTTGATGTCATGCATGAGATGTAATGTGGAGCTAAATACATTCAGCTGTTGTTTGATTTTTCAAAAGTCGTCTCCTCAGTGAGTTTCAGTGCAGTCGTCTGCTTTGCCCCCCCCCCCCCCCTAACAGTTTCACCAGCAGCCATCCCATGACGTGAGCCAGTGTTATCTACTCAGTTGAGGCTGAGGATATATTTTACCTGTACACATGGTTTCTGTGTTGAATAAAAGTGAATTGTGCTGTGAATGCCATTTGCTGCCTGTGTGGTGCAGAATCTAGAGTCATTTGTTGATGCTCTTGGACAGAGAAACTTGATACACAGCGTGGTTATGTTGGTAAGAGTTGTTATGTTAAAGGGATGTAAAATGATGGGTTCGTTTGTTTGGGAACCTTTTACACAACCTTATTAAGTCTTTAGAGACGCTCAATATGGTGGTGGTCATTTAATTCACCAATTAATGAGAAAATTGTTATAGTTCTGATAAGGAAGTATTGATCGATAATTACAACAGCTCCGGTTCTTTTTGTGCCTGGAAATGAACCCTGCACAAGAATAATGTCACTATGTTGGAGTTGAATCATATATCATTCTACAAAGAACTTAAAGCAAGATGAACGATGTTGACCGTGAGAAAATACACTAGTCCTTCTAAAAATTACATTACAATTTAAAAAATAGCCTTTTTTGTCCTTTAACATTTTTGCAAGGGTAATGTTATCGATTTCATACTGGTATTGGACATAAGCACAATTATCGGTTATAGCTTTGGTGCTGACGTTCAATGAAGGTGCATCTCTACAATGTTTGCAGGATTTGCACCAAACAGTATTTATGGATGTAGTTTATGACTGTTATCTTATCTTGTGTCATAACTCAAATGTTTGCATTTATGGAATTACATATTGAGCAAATTTAACCAGGCCAAGATATGAAAAACATTAAGACTTACTATTCTAGATTTGGCATTTTATTTAGTTATAATCTCAGGTTTAGGTTAGTTTGAGCTTAGAAAAATACGATTTAATTAAATGAGAGAAAAGTGTCCCTTTATATAATACATGGATACCCACACCCTGTGTAAAGTAAGATGTCTAAGACTCAATAATATAATAACCCTATCAAAGATTACTGCAGCGACATGAGTCGGAAACAGTGCACGTCTTTGCCATACCACCTACTGCATTTGAGGAAGATGTCGGTTTAATTGTGCACAAATCAAATTAGATCAAGGGTCTGCCTCATCAGCAGACGGTGACATTTACATTGTGTCCCGCCTACAAGGCGTGGAATTGTCTCCTTTCCAAAAGTATTTTATGGGAGAGAGAGAGAGAGAGAGAGAGGGAGAGAGGGAGCATCATCACTGCATGAGTAACACTGAGCATCGACATTAGCAGCGAAGTAGGCTTCAGTAAAAACCACGCATCCGTTTCAAAGTAGAGCCAGAAAGCATCAGGACATCCTCGGAACAGGCGCCGGGAGACGGGCTGCATCATGACTGCAATGGAGGAGCAGGCAGACTGGCTGGATGACTGAATAACATCGGCGCCTTTTGAGGAACACCGCTGGTACCGACTGTGAGAGCGCGTGAGTTCGCTGCTACTTTAGAATATAGCACGATGTAGTCCGTGCTAATGTCTAATATAACGTTACCGACGTTGTCGCGAGTTGTGATTGATTTCGCCAACGTGAAATAACCATAAGGTTGCAACATTGCAGCCGTTGCTGCATCAGTGTGTGTGAGCTCCCGGTGGTTTACCGCAGCTTTAGTCCTGATCGATAACCAGCCAACCGAGCCTTCAACCTTTTGTTTTTGTATTAGTTCATGATAAAAGAAGCGTGTATTGAACGGCATGAACAGTGACTTCAAACGTCTGTGAGACGAGCCAGCACGGACCATGCCAACAAACGGCCAAGCTTCCAGCATGCAAGCGGATTGTTATCGCGTTTCATGCAAAAAAGACTATATTTGTCTTAATTTAATAATTGTGTCTAAAGGAAAATTGCCGAAGCTGTTTCCTCCCCCCCCACGAACGGAGCAGTCATCTCTTGATAAACACCGTATATAACCAGAGGGGGCGCCACTCTGCGTATTCAACTAACGTAGGCTAACTATAACTAGCTATCATAAAAGTTAGGCGCCTCACAGACTAAGCTAGATACAGAAGCTCCCTAACCACATTATAAGAATAGTAAAATGGCGTCAGAAACATCCGGGTCGCGGTAAAAAGTAGCAGTTGGGGGACAGAAAGAAGTTGAGTCTTTAGAGACGAAGCTCAGACCACACCAGGGGGGGGGGAGGATTTCTTTGCAGTTGTTGCTATGCTACCACTGCAGCGCGTGCAGAACAGTTGCTAAGTGGTCTCCGTTAAAGCCTCCCAGTACAGCAGCCCAGTAGAACCCAGTCCACCTATATACCAGTCAGATGACAGCATTGTTAAGGATATACAACTGTTTTAATCACGGAACTTTGCATGCATCTTCTATCCTGCACTGAGCCACCAACATATGTCATAACCAGAGATGTACACGGGTATAAATTACAGTAATAATTGCAGGTGTGACAGTTCAAGGGGAAGTCTATTTTATTTTATATAGCCCAATATCACAAATTAGCCTCCAGGGCCTTTACAATCTGTACAGGATATGACGCACTGTCCTTCATCTGAGGAGGGATCCATCTGCCAGGACAGACAGACCTGCAACAGATATGTGTACAGAATCGACCAACGCAGTAGAATTACAGTGTGGTCAATCAGGATTAAACAAATTTATGGATAGAGTGTAAACATAATGGAGCATATATCAGGGAGGATGTCAAGCAACGGCAAACAGATCCTGAACTACACAACCCTCTCCTCCACCATGGAGAGGACAGAACACACTAGAGGCGAGAAGCTCAACACATCATTCACACTGAAGGAGAAGGAGAGAAGGACATGTACACAAGGCAGAGAGAGAGAGAGAGAGAGAGAGAGAGAGAGAGAGAGAGAGAGAGACTGAATCTCCTGGAGGACAAAGATCCAGATCCAAAACATCTGGAAAGGGTAGCCGAGAGAGAGAGAGAGGGGTCCCAGGAGAGGTCAAGAAAGTCTCAAAGTTTGTGAGAACAGAAACTATCAGAGATTCAACATATGCATACTTCACTGCAGATTCTCCAGAAGTAACTCGAGACAAGAGACTAAATTTGTATCTAGATCCGTGTTTGATCATTAAACCATGGGTGAAGACCTCTTTGACAGTTGTGTTTCAGTAGAAAGGAGTGCAACTGAAACTGAACAGAATCCAGAAGACTAGGAAGGTCTGTCTTTAAGTCGCTGGCACACAGTTTTGACAGGTCCTGTCGCTGCAGTGAAAGGATTCAGGACTGCAGGCAATCGCTCACCAAGTACAGTTGAAGTTGACGGACCAGTGGCCAACGGTCCAAGAACAGGCTAGTGTCGCTTCAAATATGACAAGAGAGTGATCTGACAGCACGGATGTGAGTCACAGCAGAAACCTCGATCTAGTTGATATGAATGGTTTTAGTTCAAGAGCCTTTAAAAGAGTTGTATTTAATAACACATCTGGAGGTTGAATTGAAAAGACACTTATAGATTGAGCGCCACCTTGTTTGAGTTTGATTTAGTTTCATTTAATAGTAAGATTGGGTTTAAGCCATGTGTCACATATACCTGTCCTATTCAGACTATGTTGAAGAATCTAATTGTTTATCAGGATGGCTTTGATAAACGGTTATCAGGTATGAAACCACATTTGAGGGTTAGTTTGGGCTGCAGCTTTCAGTTTTAGGCAAATATGTGGAGCCACATATATGAGGAATGAATTGGAACAAGATACCTTATATTATTATGGTATCAGAGCCATTGTTCATGTTATTAATAATATGATATGAAGAACAAAATTACACCTATCACGCCTCTTGAATAGTCACCTTTATGTTAATTATATTTGACTGCGTAATAATGTAATAATTAATGGAGAAATCAAATTACTTTTGTAGTGTTTTTGACAATTATTTCCCATTATTTGTAGTATGAAAAATGTAATATGATGTTATTGATAGATGATAAATATCAATAGTCCTATGCTACAAAGGAAAACATAGATAACAACATGGCTATAACACTGCTTAACGCTGCATATCTTTAACCAAATGTCAGTGCTGAAAGTGCAGACTAGCAACAGAGAGAAACATCTCCCCATGTTCTTTAATACAAGAACAAACTTCAGAGAGGGCTGAGAGGTCACATGTGTGACGTGGTGGGCCGTCTGCTTGAAGGTGCGGAGGTGGTGCAGTCGCTCCATCAGATGGCTGGTTGGACTCTGAATTGAATTGGCAGTTTTCACTGCGTGTCATTTGCAGAATCCAACTTAATTTGTTGTTGTTGATCACACATCCATCACTCTGTATCAGTCTGTTAATCTCTCTAATTTGTGACAAATTATGTGGAGAATGCAATGCGAGGATGCTGTGGTTCAAAGCTATTGAGATGAAAGGATTCAGGTCGTGCTTAGTATTTATCGTACGATCTTTGTTCCAACCGTAGGATGTCTTCATCACGAGGAGCCAGCAGCTGTAGTGTAATGATGCTCTGACAGCCGAGTCTGTCGGAGCAAAACCTTCTTTGTTTTATGAATGATCAAAGGACAACGGTGTCAGACGTCAGGGTCATTGCTGACGTAAGCTGGCAGGTGAACATATTTATAGAATCAGACAAAAGCTCAGGAAGACGGTGCTGCAGTGTTTAAATGTACTACAACACTGGTAAACCTCTCTGGAAGGTAATCATTCATTCAGGCTGGTTCAGGTTGTTCGGTGATGTTTCAGATTTCTTTTCAAAATGAGCAGCTTTGAGCCGTACAAAGTGTTCTGTATCCTGAATGCAAAGAGACCAGCAAAGTCTTCTTCTTCTTTTACCAACGACTTCCAATCACCAGCCGAGTCTGTCAGACAGCTTTTCATGCTCATTGTAAGTCAGAGCAGAGAGAGAGAGAGCTCATTCTGTTGTCAAAGACCGGCCGCTGCTGCGTTCCTCTTCCTCTTGTATTTCAGCAAATAATGAAACAAGTTTAATAAGCGTTGGTGCACCAGCAAACGTAGCCACGGTAATGTGGCTGTTATAATAAGCAGGAAATGTCTGTGGGTAAATAATAGTGTGCTCTTGCAATGAGTTAAATTAAACAACAGAGTGAATATGTGATCTACATCAGCGTTGGCATTAAAATGTAATTTGAGAGCCGATGGCCAGACATTTATAATCCTAAATTGTAGCTGTCGCTCCACAGCTTGTGTTTCATGCAGTACATAATGATTTATTTCTGAATTAAATTATTCATTGCTCATATGCAAAATATGAAGAAACTCAAGGGACACTGTAATACATCTGTGAACCCTGCTTTGTCAAGCACTGTGATAAGTAGTGATGTATAACCATTGTGTTTTCTTTCACATATACTTCTAGAGCTCCATCCAGGCTATATAAAACACACAGAAGGAGAGTTTAACAAACCTGACAGCAATATATCACCGGATATGGTGTTGTACATTACATTTGTCTGCAAGCAAAATTGAGAATTGCGAGTGAGATGTTTCTAAATGACCTCAAAGAAATGGTGGCATTTCAGTATTGCAGCTTTACTTTACTTATCGGCCAACAAATATGTATTTGTGATAAGCTAAAGTGGGTGATAATAGAGGTCAGACTCTCTATATGTCCCACCATTAAGTTGCTGTGTTGCATATCAAGAAACCCCGTTTGACTTCTTCAAGATGATGCCACAATAATTGGAACAAAACCAAAAAGTAAATTGTCAAAAAAGGTTGTTGAAGAAACAAATGGGATGTAAATATATTTGGCATATTTACTGGAAATAATAAAAGCATACCGAGGGCAACAAAGCACAGCAAACCCAGAGCCCAGTAAGCAGAGCGCTGGACCCAGTCAAGGTCTGTGTGATTGTGTGTGTGTGTGTGTGTGTGTGTGTGTGTGTGTGTGTGGGTGGTTTTGTAAAACAGTCTTACAGCTTATTGATCCGTTCACTGACAGATTCAGTTCAGAGGAGAGAAAATGCACCGAACTGAGACTTTGTGCTTTTTAAAGGAAAGCAAGGTTTTACTCTGACACGGCCGCTGTGTGGGTTTCTGTGTTCACAGGGAAGCTGACTCGGTGGTTTATACAGCCGAGCTGTGAGAGTGACCGACCCCCTCGACACGTCTCCATTAGGTGATGTATAACCTTCAGTTCATATTATTCTGAAGTTAATCAATCAACAGACTGAAAACCCAAAACATGTTTTCCTCTTCTAAATATTTTGACCTACTGTTGGCGTGCAGATTAAGAAAAACACTGATTTATAACAATGAAATTATACTTGTTTTACTTTCTGAACAGGTTTGTTGTCCAACACAATATGTCACAGTGAAGTAAACAGTGTTTTAGAAGTGATTTAAAAACAGGTGTTATCGATCCAAATAATCCAACATGGGAAGTTGTACGAGAGATAAATCTAATTTCTTCTTTCTTCTGTAGGGCGCTGTGATAAGACAGCCATGCCGCCCCCAGCTGACATCGTGAAAGTTGCTATTGAATGGCCCGGTGCCAATGCTCAGCTTATAGAGATGGACCAGGTCTGTGTTTGTGTAAAACGCGACATTAAACACATCTTCAGTTGGTCTCTAGTAACTCTTCTTCTTCCAACTTCTAACTAGCTGTTCGTGGCTAAACCTTTACAAAGTCATTTAAATTTAATGTCTTTGTAAATTTAATTTGTTTGGAATTTGAAAGCCACGAGTAATAATGAGATGTGTTTTAGTGATTCAGAATACAGGTATGTACCTAAATGGTTGTTATAATAAATAGCCCTTCATGAGTAATACATTTAGGATACGTAATCTTGCTTTTTAAAAGTACGTGCTGTCATTGAAATGGTTTTTTTTTTTCTGTTTGCAGAAAAGACCATTGTCCTCAATAATACGGGAAGTATGTGATGGGTGAGCATTACTCCCACACATTTGAATATTGTCCTTGTATTGATTTGTAATCTGACTTGCTGTTTAATTACCCAATGATGGCATATATTAATAAAATGTTTGCAGGCTTAGGATGTCAGACTAATAAGGAGTCAGAGAATGGCAGCTGTTAAACCTGTGATGCCCGGTCCGGTCACAGTTGTGTCCCAGGGATACGATCCAACTGATACCTTATGAACCATTCTTACCCATTACGTCTTTCTTTTATCTGTCATCATGTCTGCTTGTATCATAACACATGATGTTGTGCCTTACTGTTGTCTTTTTTTACCTGCTCTTTTGTCGTGTCCTCTAGTGATGAATATTGCACTTTTTTTTTTTTTATCTCACCCATCCACCTCTTAGCTGTATCTACCCACTGCCTCCCTTTTCCATTTCAAACTGAGAACTCTTTTCACGTTACTGTGAACACCCACTGAATAATTCTCCTCCACAATCTCTCAGTTTTTGCCATTTGTGTAAAATACAAATGCTGGAGGGAGCGATCTGCCTTTCAACAACATTTTGTTCATGCATACTCAGAGTATGCTGCATTAAAATAAGTTACATTGCTTCTTTAGTTGGTATCTAACACTTGAACTGATGAAGTCACCTTCCCTCTCTCCCCTGTCCTCATCCTCAGCTGGTCTTTATCCGGCTCTGAGCAGTTTGCTCTTCGTTATGCTGATGGGCCTCAGCTTTACATCACTGAGCAGGTGAGCTGCACTGTTTTCTTCCTAAGCTTGAGTTGATGGCATTTCAAATTAATGTTGAATGTGTTGAAAAATTCTTCCTTTATTATCTCATAGAGCCGTGGCGAAATCAAGAACGGGACCATCCTTCGATTAGCCATTTCACCCGTGAGTCAGCTTTGTTTATTTCTGTTCAGTTGTGTTTGAAAGTAGTTTTAAGTTTTAAAGTGAGATACAGTCTGCTATTTGTACAATAAGTAACTGGTGTGTATTCTGGCTCTTATTTTGTAGGGACTTAAAAAGGTCTTTATACATGAGCATCAGCAAACTATACTTCGGTGCAGGCAAACTTTTTGTGTCTCGCAAGTTATGCTTGTCTTTACTCCATAAGCTGACAGAGCGCTGCTTTTAAAAGGATGAAAAGGGTTGATGTGATTTGCCATGGTGGATACCAACCTCAATAATAATATATGATAATATATTCTTCCTAATCCCACCCTTCCTCCCAAATGCACTGTGAGGTGCACCCACAGTTTCCACCACCAAAACACACACAACAAAGTGCTGCCCCAATGCGCTGTGCACTAATTCGGATTTATAACAACTTGGGTCTTTTTCTTGGCCGACTTCCTGATTCAACTTTGACCTATCGTATTCAAAGTAGTTTGATTCATGCTTTGTGCCTAAATGTTCTATCAATAGAGCGTTTAATGCTTTAGTCATCAGTTCTCTTGCTTGCTTTTTATAGTCATGTAAACATAAAACAACTATAT